TTTTTTTTTTTTTTTTTTAATTTAAATTAAACTTTTTATTTTGGGATAATTGTAGACTCACATGCAGTTTTAAAAGACAATACAGAGATCCCATACACCTTTTATCCATTTTTCCCCAATGTTAACGTCTTGCAAAAGTATGGTACGGTATCACAACCAGGATAACAACAATGCCACAGTCAAGCTACAAAAGAGTTCTGTCACCGCAGAGATTCTTTGTGTTGCCATTTATAGACACACTTCCATTGCACTCCCTCTACTCTCCTTAACTTCTGGCAACCTGTTCTACACCATTAAATTTGTCATTCAAAGAATGTTATGTAAGTGGAATGTTGTATACAGTTGTGTAAATGGAATCATACCTTTGGAATTAGCTTTTTTCCCCACTCAGCATAGTTCCCTAGAGAGTCATCCAGATGGTTTTATGTATTTGTTCCTTTTTAATGCTGAATAGAATTCTCATGTTTATCCTTTCACCAGTTGAAGGACATCTGGGTTATTTTCAATTTTTGCCTATTATGGATAAAGCTGCTGTGAACATTCATATGCAAGTTCTTGTGTGGATGTAAGTTCATTTTTGAGGAATAAGTGCCCAAGAATGCCCTCATTATTTTTAATGACTATATCATACTCCATTGTTTGCGTGTACCATAGAGCAATATTGGTCTCACACTGGTAACCATTTAGGTTATTCCTAATGATTTGGTAGTTCACATAATGTGATAATATCTAACTTAGAAATGAGTGATTTTACACTTTTATCCATAGGTTGAATTCCTTCCTAGAAATAGAATTGCTGATCAAAAGGAATGATCATTCTTTTGACAGATATTACTTGATTGTCTTCCATAGCGAATATATCCGTTTCTATTTTTATCAGTAGTATATGAGAGGGCCTTTTTCCTCACGCTAGCACATAATCAATTTTTTTCACTTATGACATTCTTCATAGATTTAATGAGTATATATGAGTGAAGTTGATCACCCCTTCATGTATTTGAATCACTTGTTTTCTCTGAACCATCTGTTCGTATGTTTGGTTTATTAGTCTTTTTCATATTGATTTGTAGAAGCTCTTAAAGAAAACCTTTTGTGACAAAGGTTGTACATGGTTTTGTTTTGTTTATTGTTTTTTTGTTTTTTTTTAACCTGTATGTCCTTTATCTTTTGATTTTGTGTATGTAGTTTTTGCCATGCAGATGTTTTTTTATTTTTACATAGATGAATTTATCACTCTTTCCTTTTATGGCTTCTTCCTTTCTGGTCATTTAAAAAGACACTCCTCCCTTAGTCCAGGATTATGAAAGTGTTTTCCCATGATATTTTAGAGTAGATTATTTTTTTCAATGTTTATTTTTGAGAGAGAGACAGAGTGCAAGCAGGGAAGGGGCAGAGAGAGAGAGACACAGAATCCAAAGTAGGCTCAAGGCTCTGAGCTGTCAGCACAGACCCTGACACAGGGCTCGAAGTCAGGATCATGATCTGACTTGAAGTCAGACACTTAACTGACTGAGCCACCCAGGAGCCCCTACATTTACATCTTTTAATTAATCTAGAATTTATTTGGTTGAGGATATAGGTTTGACTTTTTTTTTTTCCCCTGAGATGGTTATACAGTTGTCCAACATAATTTTAAAAATAATACAATTTTCCTTCTTTTTTTTTTTTTTTGAAATGTCACTTTTCTCAGATACTAAATTTCCACCTTTATGTGTTGGGGATATTTCTAGTCTTTTTCATTGATACATATATCTGTTCCTATGTCTTAATTTGTCATAGATTTCTAAGTATGCTAATTTTTGATAGGATTGCTTTAATTTGTAATGTTTCCTTGAATACTGTTCTGTTTTGTGGGTCTATTCTTTTCTATTTAAAAAAAATTTTTTTTTAATGTTTATTTATTTTTGAGAGAGACAGAGCACGAGTTGGGGAGGGACAGAGAGGGAGACACAGAATCTGAAGCAGGTTCCAGGCTCTGAACTGTCAGCACAGAGCCCAACGCAGGCCTCAAACTCACAAGCCGTGAGACCATGACCTGAGCCGAAGCTGGCTGCTTAATCAACTGAGCCACCCAGGCGCTCCATGGGTCTGTCTCTTCTTATGCAGATTATTAAAACTTTTCATTACAGATTTGATAATGTTAGTTTTTTCTATATTAAAATTTTTTTGTGGAAATTAGGGTAAAATAATGGACCTCGTGTATACTGTAATTAATCTAATCATGCCTGCTGTTTTATGTTGAGTCCAGTTTTATTAAAACTAATGCTTGAAAGGTTACCTTATTCATAAAACTCTTACTATGTTTTGTATTGTTTCCCTAATATAACAGCATAGAAATGAAATTATTTGGTCAATGAGCATGAACATACTTAAAACTCTCACTGTATTGCTTTGTGGTAGTTTAAACTGATAGGGAAAAGCAGTATCAATTTAGACTACCACTACCAATATATAAATGTTATATTGCATGCTTATTATTATTTTTTTTAATCTTTTTAGGTTTCTTGTGATCGTCCCTTACCAAAAGAGGAATGTAAAACTGGCCAAACCCGGGCACCTGAAGAGGGGCCAACCACAGTCTCTGAATATTTTTTTAGTGATATATTTATTGAAGTGGATGAAACATAATAAAAGACTTTTTTGTTGTTTTTTTTTTTTTTTTCAAAGTCTAGGATTTCCAGAGTCAATTATATCACCTAAGCAGTATTTAGAAAAAAGCATCACTGGCTGTTTTTCTTTAGATTGACTTTAAATATTTAATGAGCTTGATTTGAAGCTTTTATAATCATTGGAAAACATTGCTGAGGTTCCTTTCATTCTGATTGATTCAGCATTTTGGAAATACAAAGCAATTAAGACTGCTTCTGAGACAGAAAAGCTTCTCTTGTTTACATTTTTACTCTTCCTGTGCTGAACATACATGGACATTCTGGAGTGTTTTGGATAAATGTTTATGTATAAATCACAGTGCCCAAGTATTCGGAGGTGGATTGTATTTAACACTTAGTGAACTTCTTTTGTAAAGGTTTTTTTCTGGGGTCTTTTTTTGGGGGTGGGAGGTTTTTTTTTGTTGTTGTTGTTGTTGTTGTTCTTTGTTGGTTTTGCTGAAGGCCTTTTCAGTTGCCTCTCGGTATATGAAAGCATATTGTGAAACTCCACTTTAGTATGGTAAATGTTAAAAACTTTTCTATTTTCATCTATTTGACTGGAAAATATGTATTTTTCTAATTGATGTTGATGTAACATTAGTCCTAATTGAACAAGTAAGTAGTATTTAAACTTATTATTTATAAAGACGAAACATCAAAAAGTTTATTTATTTTTAAATTGTTTATTTAAAAGAATATTCAGTTTTAATTATTTTCACCACTCAGATTATGGGTAAAGAAGGCATTGACAAATTTATGTTTGTCCCTTTTCCCTCTTTAATTTTAAAGATATTTAAAGTTATATCACTAAAGTATTTGGATAGTATATGTTTTGAATACATATTTTCTCATAGTTTAGTATATTGAATTTGTACTGTGAATTTTTGGTTTTTGTTATTTCTTGGATAATCTCAGGATTTGATTGGGGGAAAAACCCTTAATTTATGAGGGAGATTTACATACAAAACTCAATCCCCTTTACACACACATACGCTTATACACATTCCTTTTTTAAAAAACTGATTTCTTGATAGTTTTTTTTCCCCCCATTAAATTTTGCTTAAGGAACACTCAGACCTTTAAGCATCGAACATAATTGTGATGTTAAAGCAGAAAATAAGATAATAAGATTTTGTTCAGTGATTATCATCAGTATTAATTTAAGGGTTGTTTTTAATTTTGAAATTTTGTTATTTACATATGTAATTCCATTATCCACCCAAGCAAATCTTTGGTGGTTGTTCAAATCAAACTTCTTAAAAGCAGATTTAATCTTCTATTTGAAAAGCCTCAGAGCAGGAGTCAAAATATTTTCCAGAAAATATTTTTGAACTTGTGGGCCAGAAGGAATCTGTGGCAACTACTAAACTCTGCTATTTCAGTGTGCAAATAGCCAGGGGACACTTAAGTGATTGACATGGCTGGATTGGGCTTTTAGTTTGACCCCTACGTTAGACAGCAATTTTCATACCTTAAGGTGCTGACATCTGTATCTTATCTATGAAATATTCATCATTGAAGTTATGAGTTGTACATCACAGTTAAAACTGTGTTGATTGATTGCATTACAAAATGATCAGTATTTCAGCTGGGAAAATATTTTAATGTCTAGATAACTGTATATTGAAAAAAATTGTGGCCAATTTTTGAGTTCATTAGTAAAATCGGATATGGCTCAACAATAACAGCTTATTCATTGCTTTACAGTGAAATTTACAATTTAACTTTTTTGTCATAAAGGAGTATCTATAAATCTGAGTGGAAATTCTCAATAGGTATGCATTAATTTATTTTGTGTGATTAAGATGTCACAAAAAAATCATGGTATTAAATCACATTGCCATTTTAATGCCCTGTTTTTATAAAATTTTTTAAAGTCTCATATTCTGAAAGTTTCTTTCATTCAGTTAATGTTAGTTTCAGTGTTAAGTTGCCACAGTTAAACTATTATTTTATCCCTTGTGTAATATTTATTTTTTAACTTTGCTAACATCTGTCTTGTACATCTATAATGAATTGGTTTTATGGAAGATATAATTTCTTACTGTATAAGAAATAATTTTATCTTTGGGCATTCATTGTGTTAGAGAATCAAGTCAGCCAGCTAAATTGTCCTACTATTATATCCTTAAAACTAATCTGGGAAAATGAGAAAACGTAATCAGTGTCTTTACCTTACAAAGTGGAAAGAATTAGTGACACCTATATTTAATCTGATTCATGTAAAGATGATGTTGTGAAGAATTGTATAAATCTTAAAAGAGGTATGAATAATGGTTTTGTTTTCTTGACTTTTCCTCCTGAAAACTTAGGTCTTAGCAAGCAATCAACATGATGGTTTAAAAGCCTAATTGTTGGTAAATGATTGAGGCACAGAAAAAATTATGAATATCCACTGTTGACCATATTATTTGAAATAGAAGTGACCATGTGTATACTCTCTTGCTTGAAGGAGTTTTTGACAAAAAGCAATATCTGTCATTTGTAAATTTTCTTGTTCTAAAGAAAGCAGTTATGTTCTATAGGTATAAATTATGTAAATAAAAGTTATTTTATACTATTTCGGTTGTGTTTTTATTAATAACTGAAAGATATTAATGTTTAATTAACCAAAACTTGTCAGTTTTTCACCTACAGCTTTCATCCTTCCATAAAAATATGGTATACCTGGAAGAATTAATCTTTTATCTGATACGCTTGCTGTGAAGGATATTTTTTTGATCTTGTAAGAATAAAGAATATCCTTTCCCCTCATTCCCACTTAGGACATGTGGAGAGTTGCTTTTTTGCTTATATAATGAATTTTTAGGTACAAGAACTCTCAATCTCTTTCACTCTTTTTTCTCTTCCCATTTTGTTTTCTCTGTAGAGAAAGACAAATGGGAAACTTTAGTCCTGAACATAATATAATCCTGGACTTCTGAAGTGAATATTGGCAAAATATTAGCTGGTCAAAAAATTTGGCTGAGAGAAATATTTGTAGAAATTTTCCTAAAGGGCAGTCTAGTCATTTCTCCAGATAGAATTTTTATATTGAATTTGGTCACATCATCAAAGAGCTATGTATATGGGCCGCCTACATTGTTTTGTCTGCTTGAGGTTAGGGATATTATGTCAAATAGTGCAAAAGCCTAAAGAAATTGTTATTTTTACTATAATGATGTTACAGACTTTTAAAAAGTTTTATTACCCAATATCCTACTTAGAATCTGTAGGAGACATTTGACTTCAGTGCCAGGAATAATTGGGCTTCTGTTCAACTGGTCTGATATTTTATGTGGGCTGTGTGTATCCTTATGTTGTTTTCTTTATCAATGCAAAGCTAAATTTGTGGCTAAAATTCTGACTTGTTACTCTCATTTCCCCCTGCCTGGATTTTTAAAAACTCACTTTTTTAAAACAATAGGTTACCATTTATTATGCTAGGCACAGTACTAACCTTTTAATATGCATTATTTCATATTAAAAAAATTGTACATGGCTTAAAAAGTAAAGTAGTGCTAGATTTCAAACTAGCTATTTCTTCTGTTATTACATATTTCTAAATGTGGTTATTCTGTTAATCTCTTACTTATGAATATTAGGCATTGTGAATTGACTTAGCTTTCTTGGGACCTGGGTGGCTCAGTTGGTTGAGCGCCTGACTTCATCTCAGGTTGTGATCTCATGATTCATGGGTTTGAGCCCCACAATAAGGCTTTGCACTGACAGCATGGAGCCTGTTTTGGATTTTGTGTCTTTCTCTCTCCCTCTCTCTCTGCCCCTCCCCTTCTGTCTCGCATGTGTGCACGCTCTCTCAAAAATAAAAAAAAAGAGTATTAGCTTTCTTAAACTCTCCCTTCCATGCCTTCCCTCTTAATATGTTACAATTATGGCTTAATCCATATTCAATATTGTTACTGTATTAATTGTAATTATTCAATGCTGTACCACATTATGTACTAAAGTGACATTTATGGTGCAACCTTTTGTTTTTCTTGTAGTTAATAATTGCTTCAAAATGCCTCTCCATATAATTTTCCACGTGGCCAAACTGTCAGATAAACAGTTTGCTTTTTTTCCTGGAAAACTTTATGGACGTCTTTCTTCCTACTGTAACTGGTCTAGTGGCTTCATAGGTCTTTATGTGCAGTACAGCTGTCATTGTGGTACTGCCCTTCGCCATTTCTCTATGAACTTCCTACCCTTCTTTCCTGGTTTAGATTCTCTGTAGTGCCCATGCCATTGTCTTTCTTGATTTTTTTGGTGGGTATATCCTCCACTGTTTACGGCAAGAGGATACATGGGTGATAATATTATTTAAGACATTTCGTGTCTGAAATTTCTTTATTCTACTCTCAGGCTATGAATAAAAATCCTGAATAATTTGAAAATGCTTTTCATGTCATTTTAAAGGCCTGCTCCATTGTCTTCCAGTTTGCAGTTTCCATTCTGATTCCCTATCTATCCTTTGAAAGTGGCTTGCCTGTTTACAGTTTTATGACCTGGTATTGTTCACAATAATGAACTTTGGTGTAAGCTTGCCTTCCTTTCCCGCCCCTAAATTCATGCTGCTGGAAACTTAATGGATCTTTTTAATATGGAATCTTCATTTACTTCCCTTCTGGGAAATGTTCTTATATTATTGTTTTGATAATTTTGTCCTTTTCATTTTCACGGTTCTCATATCTGCAGTTTCTATTAATCTTTTTTTAATTAAAAATATTTTTATGGGGCGCCTGGGTGGCGCAGTCGGTTAAGCATCCGACTTCAGCCAGGTCACGATCTCACAGTCCGTGAGTTCGAGCCCCGCGTCAGGCTCTGGGCTGATGGCTCGGAGCCTGGAGCCTGTTTCCGATTCTGTGTCTCCCTCTCTCTCTGCCCCTCCCCCGTTCATGCTCTGTCTCTCTCTGTCCCAAAAATAAATAAACATTGAAAAAAAAATTAAAAAAAAATATTTTTATGTATTTATTTGTTTTGAGAGAGAGAGAGAGAGGGAGG